AACAGACCCAGCTCTCTCAGCCTTTCCTCACACGGAAGGTGCTCCAGGCCCTTCATCATCTCAGTGGCCCTGCACTGGGCCCTCTCCAGGAGTTCCTTGTCCTTCTGGAACTGAGGAGCCCAGAACTGGACACAGCACTCCAGGTGAGGCCTCACCAGCGCAGAGAAGAGGGGGACGATAACTTCCCTCGGCCTACTGGCCATGCTCTTCTTAATGCACCCCAGGATGCCACTGGCCTTCTTGGCCATGAGGGCATATTGTTGGCTCATGGTCATCCTGTTGTCCAGTAGGACTCCAAGGTCCTTTTCCCCAGAGCTGCCCTCCAAAAGAACAGCCCCCAACCTGTACTGATCCATGGGGCTGTTCTTCCCCAGATGCAGTACTTTACACTTGCATTCCAGTAGATTTCTCCACACCCAGCTCTCCAGCCTGTCCAGGTCACGCTGGATGGCAGCGCAGCCGTCTGGCGTGGCAGCCACCCCTCCCAGGTTTGGTATCATCAGCAACTTGCTGAGAGTACATTCCATCCCTTCGTCCAGGTCATTGACGAATATATTGCCTAGGGCTGGACCCAGCACTGACCCCTGGGGGACGCCACTAGCCACAGGCCTCTGAGTAGACTCTGCCCCGCTGACCACAACTCTGAGCTCTTTCCTCCAGCCAGTTCCCAATCCACCTCACCACCCAATGGTCCAGTCCACACTTCCTAAGCTTGCCCATGCGGATGGCTTGGGAGACCGTGTCAAAAGCTTAAAATTAAGCAATTTTTAAACTAATAATTCTCAATCATCCACAATCACCTACAAAATTATCCACAAACCCATCCATTACAAAGTATAATTACATTCAGTACAACCAGATTCTACGCTGTATTTTTAATTTGCAAATTCGGATGGTTTTGATCAACAACTTCTCTACAGCACCACCCATATGGCCCCCTTCATCTTATTACACAAAATCTGAAACAAATGACCGTTTGCCCTGGGGACAGGAAAAAACAAAGTTTGGAAGCAACAAAAGCAGAATCCTTATTTCTGTTTAGGTTATGCTCTGTGGAAGCTGGGAAGCTCTCAATGAAGCACACAAAATGACGCAACCATGAACCAGATTAATACAGCACTCAATCACAAACTGTGGGAATTACAGTTTTTTGGGTGTTTCAGTGCCTGTAATATGCAACATATGACCGTTCAACATATGATGCCTGAAAGACTCTCCAGTAACTTTAAGACCTGGAGAAGTGTTGATAAATTAATTTTGCAATGAAACTATCAAGAAAGATCTTTCTTTGAAAATCTGCAAGCATGTACTAAAGTTGAAAGGAAGCAGATTTTCAGAAAGCATCCATAAAAAATTCTCTCCTTACTTCCATTAGAACTGTTCACCTATTTCTCTCTAGAAACAGAACTGACTTTATTGACATTTTTTCCCCTCACTGACATCTTCACTAAAGAACAAACATGAAAATGCTTACTGTGCTGTTGCGCACATTGTCAATCAGTGACACAGGGCAAACCTACTGCGTGAGGAGTAGGATTTCACCTGCATTGCTGTCAGTGCTACAGCCATGAACGAGATGGTAAGAGCCTATCAACACTCTGACTTTCAGTACCCCCTCAGGACTAGCATGCAGGGAACTACACCTCCTCTTTTCCTTCCTCATTTCAACCATATTTAACAAACCTCAGAAGAGAGAAAATCTACAGCATGACTTTGCTAATTTTATTTTTAAAATCAATTATCTTCACATTCTAAACAACAACTTAGTTGCTAATTCTTTTCTAATCACACATCAGACAAAAGCAAGACTGAAGACGAACGGAGACACAGTCGGTGCGCTCTCAAGCCACTTACCCTGCAGGAGGACTATCACCACTGTCCAGCTTTACATCCACTGTCTTTTGACTTGTCTCCAATTCGTTAATAATTTTGTCTATCTGACCAATCATTCGGTTCACCCTCTTGGTCAACCTCTTGCTTGCCTTTGACTCTTCCACTACCTCTTCCTGGCCAGCTTTAGAGAGCTCTTTTATCTCTTGCAAATCCTAAAAGAAATGGTCAAGAGGGAGAAAAGCTTTCGTCAGTGTGAATTCTCAACAGACACTACTGACTTTGACTAACGCTTCGAGACAGAAGCCACTTGTAAATGAAGTGCAAATGTATAGACAAATAAAGGCAAACTGGAATTCGAATAATAAATTCGAACACTGCTGCCGTTCTCATGCACCCCATTAAACGTTACCTTCCACGTCTTTCATAAAATTGGGTAAGAGTCGTTTTTCTTAACTTGAAGTATCTGTAATACTGACATCTATGCTCAACAAGACAGAACTGCAGCATGCAGCAGTCAGTCAGCACCCCTCAGTCTAGTCACCCTGGGAATAAGGGGAGGAAGAGGATTCTCCTCGGGTGAGAACTACTCCGGTGATTTTTAACTAGGCTTTAAACACATTATACACACAAGACACTGTATAAAACAGTATAAAGCTCATTTACTCAGCTACCAAATACAGGCTAACAGACATCCAAGAAAGATAATCTTGAACTCTGTGGATCATTTATGCTAAAACTAAACATAAACAGAAATAATAAAAACAGAAGTAGAACCTCCATGCCCCATGCTTCACCTCGTTATACTCCTGGATATCACCCTTCAACTCCTCAAGCTCCTCCTTTTCCTTTGTCAGTGATTTTTTCTGTTCCTGCAGCTTGGTGCAAGCGTCACTCAGCATGTCAATCTCCTCCTTAGTGATTTCCTCACCCTGTAACAGAAAAGATACACAAAGACAGACACATTTGTGATTTTCTTCAAAGATTTTGGGTCTTTTTCCAGAAGAGATAAACTAAAGATTCTTTTTCCACGTTTGGAGTCAATATTGTAAACTGGCATTTTGAGGCTAATGCTACACCTGAAATGCTAAGGCAATTAGTTTGCTACAGTCCGTATTTTTGAAGTGCACCAGTGGTAAATTCAGCTAATTCAAACCACTACGTGGGTTCTGTCTATTTGAAATTCTGTACCTAATTGCCTCGTTTAAGAGTATTTTACTTCTTTCTTTGCTGAGTGAAAAATCCAAACAACTGAGAAACTATCCACTACGTATAGGAAAGCTGTATTACAGAAAACATTTTTTTCAGAGCAAAGTTCAGGAAGCTGAGCCAGAACAAAGTTATCTTCAACAACCTTTGTAAGAATGAGAATGAAGATCCATAGTTTGTGAGGTATACTTGTCTCTTGAAAAGCCGAGCATAAAAATCTAACCCTCAACTTGAAAAATGAGACAAGATGATTCCTGTAATACTTGCTACAGTTAGCACATTAATCTTACCCAGACACCCGCTTTTATTTTGAATGAATCATAGAATCATAGAA